GTCAGCCATCATGGATCCATGCGCATGCTATACATAATCCATCCTCCCACCATTCCCGAACATCCATCGAACTATAACTATATCCGCCCTCATGTATCGGTATTCGTGCTTTCATACATACATACACACCCCTACCATTCCCCTACATCCATCGCAGTATAACTATGACTATAACCGCCTACGTGCATCCGCACTTATGTTCACATTGCATTGCATATGCATCGAATTACACGTTTAAAATATCGTAAATATTTTACAACATGTACATATTATATATCAGCAAACAGAGATTATTATAACGCAATAGATTTCATCCGTCAAAACATCACAGAAAGAGGGGCAGCCTGGAATTTTACAATGGCATCTGAATGCACTAAGACGTTCAACTGGTCAGGAGGTGAGAGTTGCGGAAGATTACGGTAAACTTCAGTTACAGATCTCCATTACGAATATCTAAAGTATGAATAAAGTTCACAGCTTGCTATGACGTGTACTTCATGCCTGCAGAATTAGCAATGTCCTTAGCTCTAAATTGTATGTCTAAATGCTTATGTAGACAAAGACCCAAATGTATATAGGCATGACCATATTATATTCTACGCAAATATCACCACATTTAAAAACAAAGCTAGATTGAGTCTTTGATGGGCATTAAGAACTGATACACACAAGGAAAAATATTTACGGATGTCAACGGAGGAACACTGCGTTTCGGAATATATACTTTCTCCTTCATCAGGTGCATATTATTAAATGCTATGAGGCAGAGAACATATATTTGTACCTGTAAGAACAACAAAAGTAAAAAGATAGCAAAGAAGGGAACGCAACAAGGGAAGCCTACAGATAACTGGCATGGCGCTGATTACCCCGCCTCCCGTTTGCCCATTGTCCATTTCCCATTACCAATCATTCATAAGTTAAGTTTTGGCTTTAATTTGTCCATTGTCCATCAACGTCTATTATCTCCACCCTAAAAATATGTAGTTTACTGAGAAAGTGGTATCCAAATATAATGTGTGTTACTGTTGACCACTTTCTTAAAGGCATTGTTGGTTCAAAGCTTTCGGTCATAGAAGCCGTGCCATTTTTCTCTTGTCAGAGGAGTACACAAAGTATACGTCATCTGGACTAACATTTTTGGTTCGGTGGCTGGGTTAGATCGCCAACTTTGTGTTCTGGCGATTGGGTGCCTCACTCACAGTGTGGGTTCAAATCCCGGACGGGGCTCAACCCAAGAAAGTACGAGAATCTGTACTTTACTCAGAAAGTGTTATCCCAATTATAACATTTGTTGTCAAGAAAACACAATAAATGTATATTCGGCTTTAGATGGGTAATGATATCACAGACATATACGGATATTGATGATGACTTGGAGGAGCTTCGTAACGCACGTCTTCTCAATTCAGGGATTGGTAAATCCAAATATGTGTGCGCGTGCGTGCGTGCGTGCGTGCGTGCGTGCGTAAATGTGGGCCTGTTGGATGTTACATAAAACATTCATCTTGAGCGGGATGGTAGTTCGAGTTGGATTAGCATGTTAACTATATGATCTTCTTTAGGCAGAGAATGCCGCGCAAGAATGTATTGATGAAATTCCTAGGTACATGGGGCCTTTTCGTCCCCAGGAATACCCACAGTGGAGACTTCAATGGGGATAGGGTGTACACAATGTGGTACCTGGTAGATTGTGTGTCATCAGACCGGACAACGTTGGTTTTTGACTGATTGTGGCGTAAAACACACTTATTCATTTACTTATATCGGAAATTGAATGTTCATCTTAATTGTTATTGTTGAACATGTAATATATTTTTAAAGAAATAAAACAGTGACATAATAACTACAACTTTATGTGAGCGCGAGTAGCTTTTTTGGAATGAGATGAATAAGTCTTATAAAGTTGTAAGCTTCTTCACAACCGTGTAACTATGAATTGACTTTATTGGGTAATCAAAAAAGAGATAGGACCTAAAATAGCCAAATTTCATACGATTTCACTTGTCCACCATCTTGGATGCAAGGCGAACACATTTCAGCGCGGTTGAAGCCACTGAGAATGCCCCCTGCAGAGTTGGACGAACATTCTGCGGTGGCGCGGCTGAGTTGACCAGAGGCTATCAGCAGTATTTCCTGTCCAGGTTATTTAGGTCAGTTGTGTGTGTGTGCGTGCGTGCGTGTGTGTGTGCGTGTGTTCGTGTTTGCGTGCGTGCGTGCGTGTGGGGTGGGTGGGGGCGGGTGAGATTAGGGGGATAGATGATAGATTTAGCAACAAGTAAGGTCATCTTGAGTGGGAGGGTATTCGCAGATGGATTAGCATATGAACTATGATTCTCTTTAGGCAGAAAATGAGGATCCACGATGTTCGACCTGGTAGAAGTGTGTTATCAAACCTCACAGCATTAGTTTTTTGACTGACTGTAGCGTCAAAACAAACTCATTCATTTACTTGAACTGAATGTTCATCTTAATTGTTATGGATAGTCACGGAGCCATGATCCAGAGAACAGGGTGTCATTAGATAGAATTAAACTAAGTAATAATAGGATTACCAGAAAAACGGGATTTTACACACAAGCCAATAAACTTCGCTCATTAACACCAGAGTAAGTCAGTACAAGATTGAAAACTGCCCCATAATTATGTATGACATGCTTGTCGGGTATTGCTACATATATATGTGAAAACAAAGTTATTAAAATGAAGAGCAAAACTGATGAAAGTTAACAATAAACGTGTATACGTGTTATATCGTCACTGCAAAAAAAATGATTGTTTGTCTTTAGTATTAACATTCAAATACGTTATATCTGTATTAGCGATATGGTCTTTGTTCCACCGGTGAGTCAGCGTTAGCCGTACTATCTCGTAGTATAATTGAATTTCTGAAGACATCACGATACAGTTTTTACGATGCATCACGTCTGCACTAGCGCTTGATAACAGCCTTGTGTTTGGGTGTTTCAGTGGTTTAAATCGCTGCTCTTGGTATTGTTGATTAAACTTTGATACTATGAACAATATAATGTTATGTGAGAGGTTGACTTTAGAACGGTAACATACTAATAGTATATAGGATGACATAAACAGAACAATGAGAAGTTCGTCCAGATTAGTGTATAGGCAACATTTAATAATTAAAATAATTACATTCAATAACTCCCCTTTTAAGTCCATTTTCCTGACTTATAAGTAAATGCAAGAACAATCGGCCGGAATACAGTGTATAGTTCTTGTCCACTTCCATATGACTATATAGCATACAATAAGCTATCGGGTCCCGTTTAGATCGGTTTGGGTGGCAGCCTAGATGGCCATAGAATAGATTCATCTTGGAATCTCCCATATCACTGGGAATCCTCTTCAATTTAAATGGAGTTACTCGTTACGATTCCGAACCTTCACGTGTTTATGAACCATTGTCAAATAGTGGTGACATTAAATCTAGGAAACAATACGCGAAATCGCGCATGCACAGAACGGAAAATTTGGTCAAGGCATTAAGTAATCCGCATGCGCAGAACGATTGATTTCAGTACTTCCGCTAAGCGCTTCGAATGCAGCGTCAAACGCGGGCCTGTAATCTAACACGCGGGGACTGACCAATGAAATCTGAGAAGTAGAAATACCGGTAGACGCTGCTGCTTGATTGACAAGTCAATCAAGAAAGGGAGGAGCTTAACGCTATCGTTCTCTCCCAGTAAATTCCGATGTCAAATAACGACGTTATTTGGACGGAAAAACGATGGTTTGAAAACGTCCAAATAACGTCGTTTTTCCGTCGAATGACCATATACGGAAAAAAACGACGTTTTCGTGTTTGCAGTGATATTTGATATATGTTAGCACCTTTGTTATGAATGATCAATATCATATTTCTTAAATAAGCAAAACAAAAAATTGTTAAGATAAAAAATCATATTGATTGATTTTATGACATTTCATTGGTTCAGTAACCAGTGGTGTTTGCAAGAACATTCCAAAACAGAAACAGATGCTTCAATGCCATTTTCTAAATAAACAAATTAGTCAAATCTCAGAAGAATTTCAAGGTAGAAGAATATCTAAAGTCAATTATGTTTGTGCAGTAAACCACAAAAGTCATTCAGATTTGTATAGTCAGCGTCAGTGTACACCACATAAACATAGTCTCACTGCTGTGGTATTAATTCCTTTAGACTTGATTAATGTCGGAACAACCTACAGAATCACACTGATGTGGCATTATTCATTCAGAAAATCATCACTTTCTGAGGTGATACTGTTAGTTGTTCTGGGGAGGATTATTCATCATCCGGAGAGTCCTTTGTATGACTTGTCTGATCTGGTGTCATTGTGAAATCCAGGTACCTGAAACAATTTATAACATCTTTAAAAGCTTGTTATTAAAAATATATGAAACACACATATATTGACAAAGGGTAAAAAGTTGGTTTCTCAATCAGTAAGGTAATGACAATTTATCAAGCAACTGTTAACCAAACCATGTTAACCAACGTAAAAAAGCCATAGCAAACAGTGAATTTTACAGAAAATACAAAATTGGAATTGATCTTCTGAAAACAATTCCTGTAGTGCCGTAAGGCTCATCTGAATTTTTCTCAAATGTTTGCATTACATCAAAATATAAGGAAGGGTAAACAAGGCAATGCAAAAATTGCATAAAATAGGTTTTTATACATAAAAACAGAACTACCGTAATAAGCGCCTCGCTCTAATAAGCGCCCACAGGAATATTTGCTGATATATTGGCTAGTGAAAAATCCCAATTAGCACCCTTTCCAATGGCCAACATTCCTCAGTTATGCCCCTTTACTACAATAGATGGCGCCAAACGCTACGGTCCTGCGCGTACTTCCGGTATATTACGCGGTTCATAGATATTTGCACGACCAACAACTACAACGAAGTATTTACGATGCCTTCGACGTGCTGCTGTGTCCCGGGATGCTGCAATCAAGGTGGTTTGTCGTTTCCGAGAGAACCCATGTTGCTGAAACGATGGTTGATTGCTATCCGGAGGAGCGACGAATCAAACCAAGGCAAGATGTGGAAACCGTCACCTCACAGTGTTGTGTGTCATTCCCACTTCAGACCGTCTGATTTCATTGCTGTAACTAGTTATGGTAAGATATTTGGGTAACTTGTTATGTTTCTATTCGTTGGCAGATTTAATTAACGTGCATGCCAATTATATTTGTTATATTTTCTTGCATTGAAATTACGAAGAGGGTTTTACGCACAGGCCCCTGAAGCAGGATTAGTGATATAACTGAAACACTGGACCCATATATATAAATAGACAAGCTTGTCTATTTATATATATGGGTCCAGTGTTTCAGTTATATCACTATCCTGCTTCAGGGGCCTGTGGTTTTACGTGACTCAGAAATGTGTATCCAGTATGCAGAAATGTGAAGAATGGACGCAGACAAAATAGAATATGTTCCGTCCCGCGGGACACACTTATTTTCACAGATAGTTTGATTTTGTCTTTGAGTTAAATTGAGTAAAGATTCTTAAAACTTCGGAGTGTGTGATGTTTTTCACAATAATTTTAGTTCCCTCCTGTCAGAGTAGGCGAGTAAATTTGAGTATTGGCTAATTCTAATGTAATCACGTTTGGGTGTGTTTGCATGTGAACCTATGAGTATATTTCATTGTTTTTTTAAAACCAAGATAGAAATAATGTGTCATTTAGGCCTTACTATACTATAGTAGCCATTTTTTTGCCAGTCAGTGATCATGGTGATGTTTAGGTTTGACCCTCATATATTTTATGCAAGGGCCTTTGAAATCAATTACTGGGGACTAGTGCATACCCAGTTAATTAAGGTAAAACCCTGTTTACCACCATTATATTCCTGTTTATGAAGTTGTTGATGTTTTCTTCTTTAATTTGTTGAATTGATGATTACCAGGAATGTCAACACATATTTGACGTTTTTGCCTTTAATGCATCATGTTACATTTTCCTTCAGGTGCTTGTTTTCCACAGAGATGAGGCACAGATGATTCAAGAATACAGGTTCATGTTTGTTCACTTTTGATATGTATTTGTCAGAACAGTGTCATGTGTATGTGTTGAACTTGAAGACACTTCTCTGTATCAGGCATTAGATGTATGTAATGTTGAGACTATATCTACGAAAATTGTCAGCTAATTTATATCATAATTTTCCTTAATTTAAATGTTTGTTTACTTTTCTAATGTGTTGATGTGTATCACTATTATGTTCATAATGTGACAAAACATATCGTGCCCATAGAAATTTTTTCTTTCCCTGCAAATTAACTTAAATCTAATCATAAAAAGCTATCTCACAACTGGTAGTAAAAAGATTGCACAATATCTGTTTGGAAAATAATAATCTACTGCTGTTTTCCCCAGGGTGTACACCTCTGAGGAAACAGAGAAAACCAGATGCTGTACCATCAATCTTTCCCTGGACTGCATCCGCCAACGCACTTGAGGCCGATGGAGGCTTAAGGAAATCCCGCATTGAAAGACGTGAGAGCCAAAAGAGGACATTTAAAGCAATGGATACAGATTGTGATATTGAATGTGATATCAGTGAGGTAGCTGGGGAGGAAATAATTGACAATGTTGAGTTTGATGACATGAATACCGACTTAAACATTTGTTCCGCAGATAGTGCAGAGGTTGAATATGAAAGTACATCAGCTCAGACAGACAAATTTCCAATGCTTTCAATACAAAGTATTATGTTTAATGCTGCAGCAATTTTGTTTTATACAGGACTGTCAAACTATACAGACTTCACCTTTGTACTTGCAAGTTTGGGTCCGTGTGCATATCACCTAAATTATTTGTACAGCAAAGTTGACAGTATGACTATCAGTGTGGAAAATCAATTGCTTTTAACACTTATGAAACTGCGCCGACATAAGACTAACTTTGAACTTGGTCTTCATTTTGGAATTTCAGAGAAAACTGTATTAAATGTATGGATCACCTGGGTAAATTTTATGTATAGACAGTGGAGTGAGCTTGATAACTGGCCAGAACGAGACTTAGTGCACTATTTTTTTCCTTCTGATTTCAAATCCAAATTTCCATCCACACGAATTATCATTGATGGTACTGAATGCCCTATCCAGAAACCAAAACGCCCCATAGCTCAGCAGTCTACCTACTCAACGTATAAAAATCGAAATACTATCAAAATACTTGTTGGATCCACACCAGGTGGTCTTGTGTCGTATGTGTCTCCTGCGTATGGTGGCTCCACAAGTGATCGTCAAATAGTAGAGCGTAGTGGTTTGACAGTGATGTGTGACCCAGGAGATAGTATTATGGCTGATAAAGGCCTTTGTTCCTGGTGAGATTAAAAGATTATTTTGGAACTGTATCAGTACTTGTTACATCTTGACAGACAGGTTTCATTGAAGTTTGAAACAGAATATCATTAACCCAAATGGGTGCATAAGACTAATGGCATCCACAGAAAACACCTAATGAAGTACCGGTACATAAAAATATCAATGTAATTTTTCTACTGACATGGAACTAAAAACTTCGTTCAGTGAGCTGTATTAATTGTAGGAAAACATTCAGGGCATTAGTATATTTGATATATGTTAGCACCTTTGTTATGAATGATCAATATCATATTTCTTAAATAAGCAAAACAAAAAATTGTTAAGATAAAAAATCATATTGATTGATTTTATGACATTTCATTGGTTCAGTAACCAGTGGTGTTTGCAAGAACATTCCAAAACAGAAACAGATGCTTCAATGCCATTTTCTAAATAAACAAATTAGTCAAATCTCAGAAGAATTTCAAGGTAGAAGAATATCTAAAGTCAATTATGTTTGTGCAGTAAACCACAAAAGTCATTCAGATTTGTATAGTCAGCGTCAGTGTACACCACATAAACATAGTCTCACTGCTGTGGTATTAATTCCTTTAGACTTGATTAATGTCGGAACAACCTACAGAATCACACTGATGTGGCATTATTCATTCAGAAAATCATCACTTTCTGAGGTGATACTGTTAGTTGTTCTGGGGAGGATTATTCATCATCCGGAGAGTCCTTTGTATGACTTGTCTGATCTGGTGTCATTGTGAAATCCAGGTACCTGAAACAATTTATAACATCTTTAAAAGCTTGTTATTAAAAATATATGAAACACACATATATTGACAAAGGGTAAAAAGTTGGTTTCTCAATCAGTAAGGTAATGACAATTTATCAAGCAACTGTTAACCAAACCATGTTAACCAACGTAAAAAAGCCATAGCAAACAGTGAATTTTACAGAAAATACAAAATTGGAATTGATCTTCTGAAAACAATTCCTGTAGTGCCGTAAGGCTCATCTGAATTTTTCTCAAATGTTTGCATTACATCAAAATATAAGGAAGGGTAAACAAGGCAATGCAAAAATTGCATAAAATAGGTTTTTATACATAAAAACAGAACTACCGTAATAAGCGCCTCGCTCTAATAAGCGCCCACAGGAATATTTGCTGATATATTGGCTAGTGAAAAATCCCAATTAGCACCCTTTCCAATGGCCAACATTCCTCAGTTATGCCCCTTTACTACAATAGATGGCGCCAAACGCTACGGTCCTGCGCGTACTTCCGGTATATTACGCGGTTCATAGATATTTGCACGACCAACAACTACAACGAAGTATTTACGATGCCTTCGACGTGCTGCTGTGTCCCGGGATGCTGCAATCAAGGTGGTTTGTCGTTTCCGAGAGAACCCATGTTGCTGAAACGATGGTTGATTGCTATCCGGAGGAGCGACGAATCAAACCAAGGCAAGATGTGGAAACCGTCACCTCACAGTGTTGTGTGTCATTCCCACTTCAGACCGTCTGATTTCATTGCTGTAACTAGTTATGGTAAGATATTTGGGTAACTTGTTATGTTTCTATTCGTTGGCAGATTTAATTAACGTGCATGCCAATTATATTTGTTATATTTTCTTGCATTGAAATTACGAAGAGGGTTTTACGCACAGGCCCCTGAAGCAGGATTAGTGATATAACTGAAACACTGGACCCATATATATAAATAGACAAGCTTGTCTATTTATATATATGGGTCCAGTGTTTCAGTTATATCACTATCCTGCTTCAGGGGCCTGTGGTTTTACGTGACTCAGAAATGTGTATCCAGTATGCAGAAATGTGAAGAATGGACGCAGACAAAATAGAATATGTTCCGTCCCGCGGGACACACTTATTTTCACAGATAGTTTGATTTTGTCTTTGAGTTAAATTGAGTAAAGATTCTTAAAACTTCGGAGTGTGTGATGTTTTTCACAATAATTTTAGTTCCCTCCTGTCAGAGTAGGCGAGTAAATTTGAGTATTGGCTAATTCTAATGTAATCACGTTTGGGTGTGTTTGCATGTGAACCTATGAGTATATTTCATTGTTTTTTTAAAACCAAGATAGAAATAATGTGTCATTTAGGCCTTACTATACTATAGTAGCCATTTTTTTGCCAGTCAGTGATCATGGTGATGTTTAGGTTTGACCCTCATATATTTTATGCAAGGGCCTTTGAAATCAATTACTGGGGACTAGTGCATACCCAGTTAATTAAGGTAAAACCCTGTTTACCACCATTATATTCCTGTTTATGAAGTTGTTGATGTTTTCTTCTTTAATTTGTTGAATTGATGATTACCAGGAATGTCAACACATATTTGACGTTTTTGCCTTTAATGCATCATGTTACATTTTCCTTCAGGTGCTTGTTTTCCACAGAGATGAGGCACAGATGATTCAAGAATACAGGTTCATGTTTGTTCACTTTTGATATGTATTTGTCAGAACAGTGTCATGTGTATGTGTTGAACTTGAAGACACTTCTCTGTATCAGGCATTAGATGTATGTAATGTTGAGACTATATCTACGAAAATTGTCAGCTAATTTATATCATAATTTTCCTTAATTTAAATGTTTGTTTACTTTTCTAATGTGTTGATGTGTATCACTATTATGTTCATAATGTGACAAAACATATCGTGCCCATAGAAATTTTTTCTTTCCCTGCAAATTAACTTAAATCTAATCATAAAAAGCTATCTCACAACTGGTAGTAAAAAGATTGCACAATATCTGTTTGGAAAATAATAATCTACTGCTGTTTTCCCCAGGGTGTACACCTCTGAGGAAACAGAGAAAACCAGATGCTGTACCATCAATCTTTCCCTGGACTGCATCCGCCAACGCACTTGAGGCCGATGGAGGCTTAAGGAAATCCCGCATTGAAAGACGTGAGAGCCAAAAGAGGACATTTAAAGCAATGGATACAGATTGTGATATTGAATGTGATATCAGTAAGGTAGCTGGGGAGGAAATAATTGACAATGTTGAGTTTGATGACATGAATACCGACTTAAACATTTGTTCCGCAGATAGTGCAGAGGTTGAATATGAAAGTACATCAGCTCAGACAGACAAATTTCCAATGCTTTCAATACAAAGTATTATGTTTAATGCTGCAGCAATTTTGTTTTATACAGGACTGTCAAACTATACAGACTTCACCTTTGTACTTGCAAGTTTGGGTCCGTGTGCATATCACCTAAATTATTTGTACAGCAAAGTTGACAGTATGACTATCAGTGTGGAAAATCAATTGCTTTTAACACTTATGAAACTGCGCCGACATAAGACTAACTTTGAACTTGGTCTTCATTTTGGAATTTCAGAGAAAACTGTATTAAATGTATGGATCACCTGGGTAAATTTTATGTATAGACAGTGGAGTGAGCTTGATAACTGGCCAGAACGAGACTTAGTGCACTATTTTTTTCCTTCTGATTTCAAATCCAAATTTCCATCCACACGAATTATCATTGATGGTACTGAATGCCCTATCCAGAAACCAAAACGCCCCATAGCTCAGCAGTCTACCTACTCAACGTATAAAAATCGAAATACTATCAAAATACTTGTTGGATCCACACCAGGTGGTCTTGTGTCGTATGTGTCTCCTGCGTATGGTGGCTCCACAAGTGATCGTCAAATAGTAGAGCGTAGTGGTTTGACAGTGATGTGTGACCCAGGAGATAGTATTATGGCTGATAAAGGTTTCAACGTACAAGATATTTTTGCACCAAAAGATGTTACCATTAATATGCCAACATTCTTCTAAAAAAAAACCGTATGTCTGGCAAGACTGTTATGCGTGATAGGAAAATATCAAGCAAAAGAGTTCACATTGAACGTATTATTGGTCTGGCAAAAAACATTCAAAATACTTACTGAACCTCTTAACAGTTCAGAAACCAAATTAGCCACAGAAATAACCACGGTTTGCTTCATGCTTTGTTCTTTCAAAAAGTGCATTGTTCCCTCTACTTGCTAATCATATTGGTTAGCAAATCATTAAAAATATCTTTCATTCCAGTCGGACGTTAGTCAGACGTAGAGTATGGAGATTTGTTTCTAATTTCTTTCAAAAAGGCCTGTTATTTGCGTTTGCTACATGATTAAAGATAATTGTTGCTAAATATTCATGAGGATAAAGTTGAATGTAACATGTTATCGATTATGTATCATGTCGAGACTAGAATGGGAATCTGTGGTCAAAAAAGCAAGTTTGAAGCAAATTTACCATTTGTGCAGCCACAATCAATCATACTCTTTTGTCAAGGTACAAACATAAATGTGTTAGTATCAGAGATTATGATAATGTAATGCCAACTTCCTGTTCAATGTGGTGTTAAACCCATCTCACTCACTGAATTTGTTTTAAATTTATGACATCAGAAACATGAATTTGAGAATGTTGACATTGTTTGGTGCGTACTGTTACATTATCCCCTGCCACAAAGTGGGAGAGACACATTTCTTGTCCGAGCATAATTCGGAAACTGTTTCGTATGTTATTATGAAACTTTGCACATGTATCAAACACAAGTTGAACTGGTGCCCTTTCCTGTTTTCCATGGCAGCAATTTGGATTAAAACCAAATACTGGTTGCTTTTATTTCACGAACTTAAAATCTGAATAAGTTGAAGTGTATATTTCTGGATCATATATCCATTATTCATTCAATGGATACATGTTTACTGAGAAACAAATTGTAATTTATTGTCCTTTGTGCATTGTGGCTGTAATGAGGACAAAATTCTAATGTGTCCCATGGCTGTGTATTCTTCATATGATACTGGCAGCAGCTAGACCGGTCCAGATATTTGGCACATCTTAGTGCTGTTGCTTCAGCTCTCTCAGATGTTATAAAAGGCAATCATGACAAGCAAGAAGTCAATGACAATGTTTTTTTATCATTCCCTCAAACAGTTCAGCTGCAGATAATAATCACATGACAGTTGTACTTCCTCAGATATAGAGCTGAAGGAGTATGCTTCAAGCAGTGATGATATTTATGAGTATGGACACTGGATTGTGATTATGTATTGCACTGTAGCTTCATCTGTATTTAAATATTTAGATTATCCAACTACTACTGGAGGAATTAACAGATGGGTGCCATCGTCACAAAGTGAGTTAAAAGTTAATGTCACATCAATACTATTTCAGCCATATAGCGACGAGACCAAGTTGATATACATAATTTACTCATGAATGCAAAGGTATATTTAAAAACAATTTTTCATACACATTTGGACATAACAATATCATTTATACAGTTTTAAAACACAGGTTATATGCCATCAGAAACCAAAGCTAGGCCACCTCGCCGGGGATCATGGGGACTTAAGGTGCCTCTGCTTCCTGCACGATACCCCAGCAGGATTTATGTCATTAACTAAGCCACTGGTGGTTGTGCTCAATACTAGCCAGTCAGCAATGATGTCAGTTGATTATAGCATCACATCAAATTTAAAAACAGGCAATTAATGATTCACATACATATTTAGATTATTTTTTTTTACAGACCATTTTTTCTTTCAAGTAGTTGATAATGAGGTGCCTGGTCATATAGTACTGTAACAGTAAGTACGAACTGACATCTGAGATTGTATTTATTTAGACTAGTGAATGCATCCATGTATGGGACCAGTGTGTACGTTGTGATACTGTATTTAGATTATCCAACTTATAACTACTGGAGTGATTAAGAGATGGTGGCCATTGTCACATAGTACTGTAACAGTAAGTACTAAATGTCTTAATAAACATCTGAGATTGTATTTATTTACACAAGTGAATGCATCAATGTATGGGACCAGAGTTCTTAACACGTCAACATGCATCTGGTGATATAGTCCTTAAATGGAGCCCTGCAAGTTTTTTCATAACTTTTTGTTTGTGAATGTCCATATATGCAGAATATAATATGTTCAGCATTAAACATTGAGACTACAATTCTGTCTTTCTTGTTTATAGGGCTGATGACCATTGACACATGAGTATCAGCAGTAACTGAAGTTTACCAGGAATACCTGTCATAATCTCTGAAATAGAATTTGTCAAGTAGTGCCTTTTTGAAAAAGGTGTCATAAAATGCCACAAGTTTTTCAACCATAGATTCAATGAAATGGTCATCTCGGGATACAGTAAAATATTTCAAATCCTTCATCGTGTATACAATAAAAATGCACTGTTTTCTACCAGTACAGTAGAGCTGCCCTTGCACTTGAAAGAAATATGGCTTGCTTTTGTCAAGGGTAAGTTTTCCCTCAGATACCTTCAAATAGGGAACAGTTATCTCAGAGATTAGACGGTCTTTAGATGCAAATGGACATTTCACTTCAATGGTAGTATCATCACCGAGAAGTGAATCTGGTGAAGCTGCGAGAAATGGATGAACATCTGACACAAACATGCCACATGGTGAGGTTTTGAAACCACTTGACTTTTCAAAAGCTTTTCTTGCCACCTTTTCATATTTTCTGCCATGTCTAAGTGGTGGACTTTGAATGTCCTCGAAAGGCTTAGTCATTGATCTAGCAAGTTTATGAAAATCAGTTTTGTCTGTTGCCAAACAAATTTTCCCAAAATTGGAAGAAGAAATTCTCTGTGTGTGTTCAGTTTTCATTCCTCGCTCTTTGACTGTTTACGGGTTATTATTTCAAGGTTGGTTTTGTCCATATCTGATATTTCTGATATATTCTGGGATTTCAGATATTGGTCAGCTAAAGATAACTTAAGATAATCATGATCATGATTAACAGCAAATGGATTTGCTGGAGGAAACATTTGAGCAACTGGAAATGTATTGACACTAGGGTGGTTCAACCAAACATTGCGGAAAAAGTCAGGGTAATTTGGCACTTTGCGATACTGAACTGGTCGTGGGTCAAATATAACATTCAGTTCACTGTTGCATAAATCAAGGTCAGTCGCCTTAATGGGACTGCCTTTATAGGGTTTGCTTTCATGAAATGTTTGCAATCTTTGAGTACATGTTTCTTCAGTTAAAACATCGCCAGTTGTTGAAAACTTGTGCATAGCATATAACACTGCACAAATATGTTTGCAATGTCCTGATGGACCCTGGCCTGCAGCACACTCACACTGCCCCTCCACAACAGAACCATCGTCATCAATTGCAATATCGACTTTGTAAGTCACATGCTTCTTCATTTCAGCACAGCACTCAGACTTCAGGAAACACATGTTACTAGGTTTTGAATAACGAAAAAATTTCAAAAACCTACTAGTGTACAGATTCTTTGAACTTGAACCAAGTTTCTTCTGAAAAGGCTATAAGTAATAATTTATAGCTTCATATGCTAAAAAAGGAAGATGACTGTCACCATTTACATCCCTATAAGTTTCAACTAGGGGCAGTGTCATTTCAAACTCAGCTTCAAGTTCTGGCTCTCTCCCAAAATTGCAGTTTCGGTCATAGCTCTCGAGTCTGAAAAACATTTGAAATAAACAACTGTAAAAGAAAAACCTAATTGAAAAAAATCACTGTAAAATATGGACTATTAAATTATTTTTGGAGTACACAAATGTCTTAGTTTCCATTTTGTCAAAAAGTACAATTATTTTAAGAACAGATCCCTGTAACTCCAAAGTCAACAAATCAGTATTTCTGTCAGTAAGGAAGCTTAAGCCATCTCTGCATTGTTATCAGTACTAAAACTTGACTTTTGTACAGTAATAATATCTTTACTTGCACTACAGTAATTGTATATAATTTTTTTTGTTAGAAAACAAACAACATATAATAATACGGATATTAATTTTACCACAAGAATAAGACATTGTGTCACAAAATAAAAATACATGCATTGAATAAGGATTCTTGATGTGTTTGCCTTCGACCGGAATCGAACCGATGTCTAAAGATTACTCTG